ATGAGATAGAATATTTACTGTGATTACAATGAAGGAAAATTAAACACAGGTAGCTTTAGTTGTTTTAGATAGAAGAATTAGGAAATAATCTTCTGAAACCTTAAACAAGATAAATGGAAGCTCCTATTATTATACTATTATTTTGAGAAGATTGTGATGGTCCAGAAGGTTATTAAAAATTATAAATTGGCATTATTAATTTGTTGTACGCACTTTCAATAGTTAATTACCTCAATTGATTATCTATTCTGCTAAAGGCGATTACCGCCCGTAAATGGATGCTAAATTTTATTATCTACAGACTATATGTGTGAAGTAATTTTAATGTTCTTAATCGAATAATTCTCAATATTAAAAGTTTGTGGTAATAATTTTACATCCAATAATCTTTTCTTACATTTTATTTAGTAATCATTATTATTGGAATAAGGCTAATTTTTGGTAATGAGATTATCTTTGTTAATTTTGTAGGTTAATAAAAATCTAAACCATCTGAAATAATCTACTTTCAGATAATTTGAGCTTTTCTTTAAAATAGAAGATTCCTATTTGTTAAAAATTTCATTTTTACTAATCTTCAAAGTTTTTATCATTTTTTAATTTCATTAATCAAAGAATGAAATTATATTTAAGTATACAGAATAATTATTGTAATAACCTCTAGACTGAATAAACCTACCTTAATAATCAATTTTTATTCCTAGATTTGTCTATTTCTTAAAAATTAGGAGCCATGTAGTTTCTTTTCATTAGTAATATTCTTAGCATTTTTCAAAAGATAAATTGCAATTTTTAGCATTAAACAGAAACTGAAAATGAAAATGAAATTTACTTTAATTTATAGCGTTTCAAACAGATATCCTGTACATGTTAATTATATATGACCATTTGCTTGTAAATTATTGTATTTCATTTTAAAGGATATTTACTCCTGCCATAATTTATGTAGTATAAATAAACTTCTGGAATTATTATTAAAAATTTAATAAAGAGGCTTTAAATGGTATGGAAACAGACTTTAATTCCAAATAACAATTCCATCAGTTTAGTCAAGATGAAATTAACTAGAAAATTATTGCTTTAAATTTAATAGACTATATATTGGTTGAAGGACTATATTAAGAAAATTATTATTGATTACAACCAGTGATTATAATCACTGGTTGTAAGATTTGATAATATTTTCCAATTTTTGCTCATGTAAACAATCTTTTGTATTTTTGCAAGGATTAAATTTAATATCTTTTATTCCCCAAATGGACAAGGATGTCAACCAAAACAGTGTTCGAAGTATTTACAATTTAACATTAGTAGAAATTAAGTTGAGACTTAGTTAGCATGTTCGTCTGCTGGAGTTTAAGATCTATATTTGAGATTAGATTGGTCCTATTTAAAATAAATCTAGAGCAGATTTTTTACAAATGAGAGGTCTAGAATATGCTTGTAATCCCCTTTGAATTTAACAATAATTTAATTATATATCAATCTTTTACAGATTACCTCTTTTTAATAATCATCCTTAACTGGAGATACTTTTATTAGATATAAATTTTTTAGTACACTTTAAGTCTGCAGCCATTGTCTCTTTATTTTCCTACAGTTGTTTGAAGGGAAACTTCTCAAATATGAATAATTAAGAATTTTTAAATTAAGGTTTATTTAGAAAAGAATCTTTTGCATTGATTTAATCAATCAAAATTCAGTCATTCCTACACATTAAAGTCAAAATTTTACTTTACTAATGAATTATATTGATCAAAAGTCATGGACAATTGCCTAATAAACTTTGGTTTCATTAAGACATCGCTATTGAAAATTTTGAAATATCACACAAGTGTCAGAGGATTTGAACAACAAACAAAGAAGGCCTAAAGATTGAGGATTCCCTTGCAAACTTGATGCAAAGTTGGTTGACATATATATTGCCCTACTGTAATCTTGCTATGATAACTTCCCTATTCTCTTTAAAGTCATATCCTGCTTAGGTTATAAACTATAAACTATTTATAGACATATTTCTAATTTGTCAGATCTTCTTAACGCACTTAATGTTTTTCATTAGCTGCCTACATTGGTATTAAATTCAAAAATTACTTAAAAATATCGCCTAAAAACCAGAATTTTTTTTTTCTTTTAATTTTTCATACATTTGAACATTTAAATTATCTAAATTCAAGAATATGAAAGATGATATATTTTCAACATCTAATAAATATACAATTTACCTTACTCCAAATATTCTTAATTAGATCCACCCTATGCATTTAAAATCTTGTGATATGATCAAAGAAACAAAACTAAACCAGAACCTTTGGTTTAGCCATATAGCTGTAAATTTAACTTTTGAGCATATCAATTTTTAGTTGCTGTTCAATAGTATCTCTTTTTTATAGCACTATTAAAATATAAAATAAATAAATACTTATTTTGAAGTATGATGTAATCATTAGTCAAATTGAGTTTTATAATCTTTTTGAAGTATATTTAACCTAAAACTATTCAGAAAGAATATGCTCTTGGATTCTTCTTTATTTGTTTGATTTACTCTCAACTTTTTCTATGCCTTAAATCTCTGACAAATTAACTGGAGATATTAAAAATTATCAATATTTACTGCCATTATTCAACAAAAAATAAAATTAAGAGGCATGAAATTCAATGAATAGAATCCTCGAGAATCATTTGAGTTACTTGATGTTCAAACAATTGCACTGCACTAATGAATTTACAATTGTATAATACCTAATTTATTTTAAGACTAAATGATTATTAGGTTTTCACGCTAGTGAAATTACAATAGTATGCAAAAAGAATGATTTTATCTTGTAGTGCATTATTCCGATATAGTTAATTGGTTACTTAAATAGAACAAAAATGCTGTAGATATCCAAAAAATAATATAGAAAATTAATGAAGAAGGGAGAAAGTTATCATTCTAATAGATAAAATATTTTACTTAGAAGAGTGGAGTGGAGCTTAGAAAATACTGGCAAAGGTAGATGAGCCAAAAAGATTGAATAGAAGTGGAGTAAAAGCGAGTGAAAATCTTTTCTAAGAGCTTAAATCTCAAAGGANAGGCTTTAAATGGTATGGAAACAGACTTTAATTCCAAATAACAATTCCATCAGTTTAGTCAAGATGAAATTAACTAGAAAATTATTGCTTTAAATTTAATAGAATATATTGTTTGAAGGACTATATTAAGAAAATTATTATTGATTACTTCCACTATTATAATCACTGGTTGTAAGATTTGATAATATTTTCCAATTTTTGCTCATGTAAACAATCTCTTGTATTTTTGCAAGGATAAAATTTAATATCTTTTATTCCCAAATGGACAAGGATGTCAACCAAAACTGTGTTCGAAGTATTTACAATTTAACATTAGTAGAAATTAAGTTGAGACTTAGTTAGCATGTTCGTCTGCTGGAGTTTAAGATCTATAATTGACATTTGATTGGTCCTATTTAAAATAAATCTAGAGCAGATTTTTTACAAATGAGAGGTCTAGAATGTGCTTGTAATCGTCTTTGAATTTAACAATAATATAATTATATATCAATCTTTTACAGATTACCTCTTCTTAATAATCATCCTTAACTGGAGATACTTTTATTAGATATAAATTTTTTAGTACACTTTAAGTCTGCAGCCATTGTCTCTTTATTTTCCTACAGTTGTTTGAAGGGAAACTTCTCAAATATTTCCATATTCTATATGAATAATTAAGAATTTTAAATTAAGGTTTATTTAGAAAAGAATCATTTGTATTGATCTAATCAATCAAAATTCAGTCATTCCTACAAATTAAAGTTAATAAACTCTAACTTTCTCAAAATTTTACTTTACTAATGAATTATATTGACCAAAAGTCATGGACATATGCCTAATAAACTTTGGTTTCATTAAGAAATCACTATTGAAAATTTTGAAATATCACACAAGTGTCAGAGGATTTGAACAACAAAACAAAGAAGGCCTAAAGATTGAGGATTCCCTTGCAAACTTGATGCAAAGTTAGTGGACATCTATATTCCCCTACTGTAATCTTGCTATAATAACTTCCCTATTCTCTTTAAAGTTATATCCTGCTTAGGTTATAAACTATAAACTATTTATAGACATATTTCTAATTTGTCAAATCTTCTTAACGCACTTAATGTTTTTCATTAGCTGCCCACATTGGTATTAAATTCAAAAATTACTTAAAAATATCGCCTAAAAACAAGAATTTTTTTTCTTTTAATTTTTCATACATTTGAACATTTAAATTATCTAAATTCAAGAATATGAAAGATGATATATTTTCAAAATCTAATAAATATACAATTTACCTTTACTCCAAATATTCTTAATTAGATCCACCCTATGCATTTAAAATCTTGTGATATGATCAAAGAAACAAAATTAAACCAGAACTTTTGGTTTAGCCATATAGCTGTAAATTTAACTTTTGAGCATATCAATTTTTAGTTGTTGTTTCAATAGTATCTCTTTTTTATAGCACTATTAAAATATAAAATAAATAAATACTTATTTTGAAGTATGATGTAATCATTAGTCAAATTGAGTTTTATAATCTTTTTGAAGTATATTTAACCTAAAACTATTCAGAAAGAATATGCTCTTGGATTCTTCTTTATTTGTTTGATTTACTCTCAACTTTTTCTATGCCTTAAATCTCTGACAAATTAACCGGAGATATTAAAAATTATCAATATTTACTGCCATTATTCAACAAAAAATAAAATTAAGAGGCATGAAATTCAATGAATAGAATCCTCGAGAATCATTTGAGTTACTTGATGTTCAAACAATTGCACTGCACTAATGAATTTACAATTGTATAATACCTAATTTATTTTAAGACTAAATGCTTATTAGGTTTTCACGCTAGTGAAATTACAATAGTATGCAAAAAGAATGATTTTATCTTGTAGTGCATTCTTCCGATATAGTTAATTGGTTACTTAAATAGAACAAAAAATGCTGTAGATATCCAAAAACTAATATAGAAAATTAATGAAGAAGGGAGAAAGTTATCATTCTAATAGATAAAATATTTTACTTAGAAGAGTATAGTGGAGCTTAGAAAATACTGGCAAAGGTAGATGAGCCAAAAGGATTGAATAGAAGTGGAGTAAAAGCGAGTGAAAATCTCTTCTAAGAGCTTAAATCTCAAAGGATTTAATGAACGATTGAAAAATTATAGAAAATGTCATATTTATAAAAGGTGCTGATTGTAAATAACATTCAAATTAATTTTGAAGGATGGTTTTTTGAGTACAGATAAGCAGTAAAAAGTGATGAGGTTCTCAACTATTTGATAAAAGTGGTGAAAGTTTATTGATAAGTTAAAACTAGATTGAAATGATATCTAGAGAGATTTGAGTAATGCATTAATATATATAAGAAGCGAAATTTCTTAAGCTAATTTCAAAGAATTGTTCAAGTAAAATCAATTGCTTTTCGCTTCTACTGCTAAAAATTGATGCGCGAAGCCAATCGTTACAACAAACATTTTTGGAATTATAGCAATCTTTATTGATTGAGGTATTATTTTCTAGCAGTATTTATCATAAATTATCATTATGAAAGCTCTATCTCTTTAAAGAAAAGTGTATAATCTAAGCAAAATGAAATTTAACAGAGCCAACTGGAAGGTGATGTACAATATGAAGAAATCACAACTTGGTAAGGTTTAAATATGCTGTATTCTTGTAAAAAGGAAATAAGTTTTAGCTTGAAAAATATAAATCGAAAGGAACCTCATTCGTACTTGAGATGAGTGTATTAGAAAGGAATCATAAGAAATGTTATCTTACATTTTAAAAAAAGGAATTAAGAATTTGATCGATTGATATTATGGTGTTTCATAATTTGGCGAGTTATCCATTTATGTAATCCTTATTATTTGATCCTTGGCGTAGAGCATCCAAATAAAATTGTTTAGCTTCTTCTTTCTACTGCAATTCAAATAATGAATCAGCTATATAAATATTTAATTTAAAAAGGTTTACCTTTTCTTTATAGTCTAACAGGATTAATGCAAATAGAAAGAGCTTAATTATAGCATTGAATCGCATCCTTATATTTCTTTAATTTATGTAATGCCAAGCCTAAATTATAAAATGGTTTACCTTTATTACTCCATGCTAAATCCAATTTAGGATTTATGGAAATAGCTTTATCGTAACACTCAATTGCTTCCT